GTAATACTTTCGATCATCTTAGCGGAACTGCAGAAGTGCTGTTAACCATTGAAAACCTGGAAATGCTCAATAATTGACATGTACCATGAACTCTACACATCCTGAGAAATTCACAAGCAATTAAAAATTCCAAATACCTATTATGGCAGTGAAAGATTAGTTCGGCTTGTCGCATTTGCAGCTTCCTGTTACAGTTTTCAACAACACTTCAGAACTATGAATGAACCACATAACTGAAAGAGTTCGAGCGGGAGAAGAGTTTGGTAGGTATGTACCAGACGATGCATTCGTCGTTGCACCATGATCAATCTGCTGAATCTCTATAAACGCCTTCCTCACATACCCCCCCCCCAAACATCCCCACACTTCTTTTGCGTGAGCCGATCTGGACATGATTCTGATGCAAATCCTTGGATTCTTATTTCATTTGTAAACGGAAAACAAAGTGCACAAAGAAGTACAATGGGGCTGTCGCTGGCTGTGACTGCTTGCGGGTTCGCCGCTGATTTATTTCCTTAGTGAACAGCGGGTTTTCAGTCAAATCTCACGCCCATCCCTTTACTTCAGTTTCTATCTCGTACAAATATCCCCAAGAGATCGGCTGATGTGTTGATCATGAGATAATATCGATCAGAGCTGGAGATGCATCAAAACAACTGCTCACATGCCGGTGAGAAGTACGAGTGCAGCGACGAGTAGTAAAGAATTTGGTAGATGCCGTATGAACAGTTGGGGTTAAGCTTTTCGGATGAGAATCCCCGGAATGGCCCGGGATTGTGTGACGACCAAAGTAGCGGCGCACCCTTTTCGTTTACCAGGACACGACATTAAGTGCCTGAGCAAACTCCGATATGATCGCTCAACCAGCGCCACCGCACAGCGACGTGGCACAGCACAAGGACGGATGGTTTCCCCCTCTCCTCCTCTTTAACTACCATGAGCAGAATCGTTGGACATCAAAAGGGCGGTGGCTTAGTGTTGCCATCAACGTTTTCCCACGAAATGCAACAGAAGCGCGAGGACGAGTTAACCTGGTGCTGCCGTCGCTTACGGCTGTTCCGAAGCACAACTGGCGCTCGCCTCTGCGCTATCCGGCAATCGCATGAGCTTTGCGATGGCTGAATGCATGTCGTCAACTTATGTAGTCAGTTGTTTCTCGCGCCACCGCCGTCGGCAACGAGCAGGAGACGAGGGCAGGCCTGGCCGCTCCGCCTTCGACCCCGCCTCGACGGCGCCTCCCTCGTAGACCACCGCGCCACACCCACCCTCTCCTGCCACGCGCACCCTTCATCTCGTCCCTATCTCATACTCATCACACACTCCGCTGATCATCACTGACTACTGCTAGACTATGTCAGATAACGATGATGACGGTAATTTTGCTTGTTCCATTTGAAAGATTTGATTTTTTTCGCATTTTCTTTACTCTTTGCCCCTCGTGACGCCCCTATATGGTTAGATTAGAGCTTGTGCTTATATACCTGGAAGGTCAAGCTCTCAAGGATGGCATGTCCCCCAGTATTCCCAGCTGACAGAAGGGGTATCGGCAGCTAGGAATAGAGGTGGGTTCTGTCTACGGACCAGTGACCTGGCAACAACTTGCAATTCAATCTAGCCAACTATTACGCCCCAGTAGACATATTCTTGCACAGCAAACATATTCTTGCGCTCAATGTCTCTAAACACTTCAGCAAATTCACCAACCGACCTTCCTCCCGAGGGAACACATCTCATAGAAACACTCAAAGACAGTAATGTCTATGATCCCATTAACTTTCGGAAGCTTTACAAAGTCACCATTTCCTCTATTCCTCCAGATAAATCCAGATCTACACATTTTTAATCGCATTTTGCCGAAAAATTTGCTCTAGAAGCGTAATAAGTTCCAATTACTCCACAACCTTGAAATAGAAGGCATTCATGGCGCATACCGGGCACAGATCGTTCACAAATTTACTGATTTATTAAGTAACTTATCTATGAAAATCACGTTTGTACAACATACGCAAATATCCTCTCAACCGAAGAGCTTTCCCATTTTGAAAAAAAAAGGAAAATAAATTAGGAAAGGCCGATATCCCGAAAACCTACGAACCAAACCAGCCCTAATATCTGCTTGTCGGAATATATCACCTGCCGAGCTAGCATGGAGGCTCTGAGATCCATTTTGGGTCTGAGATCTCCATAGGACAGAATGGTTAGCCAAATATTTAAACATGAATGTATTCCTTGGCCTGAGTAGAAAGAATTTCTTAAACTTCTCTAACGGAGTTCTTTATGTAACTCTCCTTTGATATATTCTTATCTCGCGCCCTTTCAAAAATTAAGCTCATCGCAAATTTTGTATTTGAACAGATTTGCAGAATACTACTTCTCTAAATACTAGTTATATTAAACTGCATAAATTCGAGCACTCATCTTCAATAAAATCCTCATTACCATAAGTGGCATATTCAATGATAGGGGGAAAGCTTTTTTCAAGAGAGAAAACTGTTCAGACGTGAAGATCATAAGGTTTAACAACCTGGTTCCTTTGTGGGAACTCAGAAATCAGTACAAAACAGCACGCGGAAAACTAAGAAAAAGGAGAGAAAGAAATAGAGACGGCAACATAGCCTCGCCAAGTTGAATTCCTATTAGCATTTGCTATAGCGCTGTGGCAGATATCTCAATACAGTGATATAAGCATATGGGGGTCACCGAATCACACCTATCAAGATTTCTTGACCATCGAGAGGAAGTGTTCCAATGCAGAATGTTCTAAACCAGCATGACCTTTAAAAATCCTTGATTTTCAGAAGTAATTTTTCACTTTTAAGTGAGGTCTGCTATTCGCTCAGATCACCTTTAGCCAGAAAATTTTATCACTCTGGAAATGATCAGACCTATAATCAATCGCTGGCAATGACTTCAGGTGGGAGGGAATACATGGCGTATCACGGTGTTTCACATCGTCCAGAATTACCAAAACTACTTTTATTTCATATATGCCCCCAATAAAGGTACAACAGCGCTTGTTAAAGAATAGGATACAAGACAGCAGAGCCTCCCTTCGTCTATGAGCACTACGCCATGCACTAAACTTTCGCCAAAAATTGCACAGGGATTGCATACGTGCTTATTTTTGCTTCCTTAAACTGTGGAGGCAATTGTTTCTTCTCATACCACGCTGGCATGATATCATATTGGAACTCTTGAGGGGTTTCTGCAAGTAAACGGCCAACGGAGGAACTCGAACAAGCACTCATTTGAAACGCGGCGGGGGCTCTATATGAGCACACACTGCTCGCTTATTTTTGTTATATTTCAGACGCTAACTATAAATACTGGACTCTTCCACATATAACATTACAACACTTCTTTTTATAAAGATACCTTTACCTCAGTGCGTCATCGATTCAGTGCGATACACCCATGCTATTTTAATCCTACGGCAAACTTATTATACAACATTACCCGATTTCTCTGATTCTCGCCTTGGGATCGAACATCGTCTTGCATGTCTTTGCATTTTCACTGACTCCTCTGCTTCGCTTTCTTCACACAGCTGCGGAAACAAATGTGCTACAAACAATTGTTTTGCTGCGTTGCCGCCACATCAGCGCGACTACTGGGCGCATCGACACATGCCCTCGAAGATGCGTGAGCGGACGCGTTACATCTCGATCAGCCGCTTATCAAATCACCCCCTCAGAACAGATCGGTGGTGTCAAAGGCACAGCTATAGCCCAACGGAAGTGGCAACGGGGACTAACCTGTGCGATCCCTATGTAAATACCACATATTGCCCGATTTAGCTGAAGAAGTGCCGAGAGTGGGAAGGTCTTATTGGCTTATCGGAGAAGCAAGGGAAGTTCTCAGATCAAAGGGTTGACAATGTTTTCGCACTGCTGCGCTAAGCCTTCGAGATAGACCGGTTATCCCTCCCGAATATGACCAGCAGTCGAAATGAGAACTCCCTTTTTTCTTTTGAACTATTGTTGAATACTCGTTTTTAATTCGAAAACCGACGTCGACTGATCTATAATTACAGTAACTTTAGCCATTTCGGCCATGCGGTCGGGCCAAAAAAGCCACAAAAACGTGGGGATTGTCGAATGGCTTTGCCCTTACTTGTTCCACAACCAGAAACGACTATTGAAAATTTTGTTCTGATGGTATGAACGTGACTCGAGGTGCCAATGGCAGCGCCACAACTGCTTAAACACCATCTCGCGAATGGCTTAGTCTTACCCCCAAACCGAGCCGGCTTTACCATTTCAGTTTTCATCAGAAGGCACAGGGCTTGTTAGAGTTACTGCTGCACCAGATTGAACGATTAGCCCCAACATTTTTGCATAGACTGGACATTCAGATAAACGCCTTTGCAATTCTGGAATGCAGCAGTCCGCGAGGCGCATTCCAATAGCATTCATCAGCAGCAATCATTTCGTCCTTTTTATTTGGTCAGCTGATTTCTGTGGTGTGCTGTTGAATCCCAAATGCTCCATAAATCTAGCAGGAGGAGAACGAAATAATGGATTGGGTCCGATGGCAAATAAGTTACGCACGTTACTCAGTTTCTCATTTCTCATTCCTGGATGAGCCATGTTATTCGACTCTAGACAAATTCGTAGTGATCGAATGCGCTGTCGGCACGACACTGCCCGCTTGTCATGGACCAACAGTCAACTTTTTGTCTCTTCTGGCCATGAAAGCTGTGCTGCCATTTTCACAGACCAGTGGACAGGAGAATTGGTACAAGCTCAGTAAGGTGAGACTCGCTTCGCGGGATTCGATCTTCCTTGGACTGTTCGATTTTGCAGTTAGAGTTGGAGATTTCCGAAGCCATTCAATGTGATCGAGTGTGGGGGTGAATAAAGTTGGCCACATTAATCGCGCAAGGGTCGATCGATATGCCGAAGCGGGTTACTCACTCTCTTTTCGTTTTTTTTTCCGCTAAAACACTGCACGAGCTCTTTTATTACCAACGCATCCGCTTCCCACTGATTTCTGCAATTATGCGGCGTCGTGAGAGGCGATCTGACTGGGATTTATGTGCTGCCGACTCAGCGATTGTCGCACGTGCATTCTCGAGCGCTGAGACGGCACTTATCATGGCGATGATTCAGCAGCTGCCAAATTTCGTGGAATTGAAGCCTGGACTCAATTTTCACGGCTTACGTCATGTGTCCGGTTTTTTGGCGCAAAGTGGGAAAAAACGAAGCATATCTGTCGATCATTTCATAAGATGAAGCTTCCCACCAACCGACATTATGACCCTGTGTATTCATCTAACTGCTCTCTGAACCTCTCAAACCTTCACTCATAAATTTTCGGCGAACACAGTTTATGGTATCGATATGGCGAAGCCACAACTAGTACGTGGGCTCACTTATCATTTTTTGAATGCGCCATGCTTTGTGTATTAACTCAGATCTGTAGTGGTGTTTAGATGAGTCCCTAGTCCACGTGAATATTTACAAAGACTGGCCAAAGTAATGTTATAACCTTCTCTAGCTTTCGCAAATTCGGAACCTGGCCTTTTTTGAATGACTGCGTTTGACAATTTCTATTGGTGCCCGCTCTTCTCGGAGGCACAGTTGTGTCGTACGCACATAATTTCTTTGAATTGAGGTTTCGAGAACATCCAGTTCTCTTTCGACACCTCTCAAAACACGAGTAGTAGTTTATCGCCTTTACATTGGAATACGCCTGCACGTCGACCTTGTGCTCCGAACACAAAGAAACATAAACGCGTACTGGCTCTACCTTAATGATAGCCGAGCTAGTTGCAGTTTCACATCTTAGAAAGAGTTCACATCATATAGTCTCTGATCTCGGTGAGAGCGAAAGCTGGGCTGATTTGATCCACTAGTCTCGTGACTGTCCAGTGCTTCTTGCTACTAAATCATCTCTTTTCCGCTCATGTTCTTCATCGGTTTTCAAGAAATCGCAACGCCTTTCTAAGGCTCGTCCTTCATGACAAGCCTTTTGCCTTTACCTTGGGCTCCACATATTCTAGAACCACTCCTGGCAGCAGTACGAAACCATCGCAAGGACGCGCTTCACTTAGCGCGGAGCAATTCCTTGATGCCTGCCGCGGCTTTAACATCCTTCAAGAAAGACGGAAATTCGGCGTACCTACGATGGCATTGCCACGACCCGTCAGTTAGTTCCTTCGGTTGCCCATGGCCCGCCGGCGATTCTAGGCAAGAATACTCGCGGAAGGAAATTCGAATTCTGGGGTGTAAGCCGCAGATTTCTAGCCTAGCTTCAACCCATTACACTCTTCAGATCTCTGATCACTACTTGCTCTTCTCTGATTCGGCAATTTCGCACGATCTGTCTTTTCTGGAAAAATCTCAAAAACGAGAAGGAGGGGTGCGAGGCATGGGAACGCAGGCTGCGATGTGGATGTTGGATGTTGAACGACTTAGCAAATCGCTCATGGCTGAATTCACTAGTCTGCAATACTTAAGGACCTTAAGGACAAAATAGATGGAGACACATAACTTATTAACGACCTTGTGGACCACCCAACGATTCCCATGTAGTAGATCTTTCCATATATGGTCAAGTTCCATCGAGGCCAAATCACGCGGCCGTGACAGATCACAGAAAAGTTACGTTCGTCCTTAAGTTTTACACCAGCATAGTTACGTGCGTTTCCATACAATCCATATGAAAATTTCATTCGTGCTCTGAGGCCCAAAACCTGAAGTCTTGCCCGAGGCTACGGACAGATCCCACTGGGCACGGTACTTACGATTGTGCCTGAACTAATTTGGTTTTATGACCACTATGCTCCTACAAAAAATCAAATCCTGGGTCGTGAGTCGCCCGGGCCAACCAAGCCTTCCATCCCTCCGGGGTCGGTTAATTGGTACCAGACTTGTCTGGGAGGATAAAAACACTGACTTCGGCTGGCCCCCGCAAGTCATTGTATAGGCCACATCGCATTCAAACGCCACTACGAATGTACAAATGGAAGTAGAATGCGTGCCGCATCCCAAAAAGGGATTGATCAACGGCAAATGCTTTATCCTTTATCTTTTATCAACTCCGCTTGCGCTGATCCCGGTGCAATATACTGAATCATTTGGTCATAAGAAGGTCATAATAGCACAGTATCCCTCCCGGCTTTTGAAAAAAAAGCAGAGATGTTGCCTAGAATGCCGGCCACGCGGTCTTCTTATGGCCAGGTGATTCATTATATTGTACTTGGAGCAGCGCAAAGAAAGCAGCCATCAGGAGCAGACGGGTAGTTTTGCTCCATAATTGGAAACTGCGCTGAACCTCTGAAGGTGACCACATTCTATGAACACCGTTGTCTGTGGAGGCGAGAATGTTGGTGAGACGGCGAGAACCACTGTGTGTATACTCTTTTCAAAGAGAAGAAGACCTCATTTCAGAGGACGGAGTGCAGACCACACACCACAAGTGACGACGGCCGAGAAAACTTTTTCTCTTGGTCGTCGTCACTTGTGGTGTGTGGTCTGCACTCGACGCTCTTCTCGTCTTCCGAAATAGAGAGGTACGTATTAAGGAGGACTTCGAAAATATCGCAATCCTACAGAAGCACCGTGCTATAGAGGTAATGTAGAGACCAGTGTGTACCCCACGCTTCTATTATTCCGGGCTTATTCAGAGCTTTCGCTCAATAGCCCAAAAGTTCAGTCAGGCAGAAACTAAAGAAGAACTGGGGAACTACACTGTGCAGGTGCATAAATAGCAGCGCCCCATTCCACTGCATTACATGACAGCATTTTGTGCCTCATGACGTCTAATAATAGCCTACTGTATAGGAAATATATAAAGCATAAGGATAAAGCATTTGCCGTTGATCAGTCTCTTTTTTGGGATGCGGCACGCATTCTACTTCCATTTGTACATTCGTAGTGGCGCTTG